ACGTCTACAAAATACTGATTTATTTATTGCTCAACAACTAGCGAAAAGTATTCCTTAAAATACTGCACGCTGATAATTTCTTCTAATGACGAATTAGAAAAATATGTTTTTAAAATATCAATTAGTCCTGGGATAAAGATTGATAACAGCGCAAATAAAAACGTAATCATTGTTAAACTCAATAGTAGATGAAAATGTATAAATTCTAGTAGTTTTTTTGTTATGCTAATAATTTTACTGATTAAAATGCATAACAATTTTTTAAAACAAAACAAGTTCCGAATTTCTGTAAGTAAAAGAAGGGGCACTAAAAGTAAGGAACAGGTACATTATAAAAACACTTATAATTTCAGATGAAATCAATACTACTAATTGGCTTCTTTGTACATTTGTTAATGATGAGTAAAGCGGACTACAGCACAAAACATGCAAGACACAGCAATATCCGTAACACACACGAAAGACGAGGGCGACAAAATTACTGGCAACCAACAAATTATAGAACTTACGAGCCCAATTATCAACATTACTATCCCGGATTTAACAACGCTAACCGACAAGAAGCACTAACAGCAGAAATCATAAACTTACTCCGTGAATTAAAAGATTTATCAGCACAGAGGCAAAGGCAAAACTACCAACCAATCTACGTACCATATCCTATACCAATGTCTATTCCTTTATCTAGTCACGAGAAACCAAAAGTTGTAACAAACAAACCGATACCAGCGTTCCCTAGTAGAATTAATTTCCCTGATGACGAAAAGGAATACATGAGACCAATAATGTTGAAGCCAGTGACGGAAGCGCCCTTTACAACAACCACTAGGAAGACAAGTGACTCTGAAAGTGCTATTGTGAGTACACTAATTACTATACTTCTATTCAAATATCTAAGAGGCTCAAGGTCATACGCGCGCCGAGTAGTACTTAGTTGTATAGTTATAAACGTCGAGCAAAACCTACTGTTTGTCTGTATTAGAACATGTTCATATTACCTTGTTGAATTGCTAATATCATAACTAACATTTAACCGACAACTTTCAGTTTCATAGTAACTTGATATAACATGTTAAACTTCCTGTACCGGTTACAGTCAATATTGTATTCGATATCAAAATACCGATAATGGTTCTACGTCACTTACCGTGAGTTTCTGAGTCCAAAACATATTGTTAACTAAGTTTTTCCAGACACTAACCGGGATGACAATGTGTTTTATACGAGTACAGAGATATTGGTCTCAGAAACCAACGGTTAGTTATGAGGGTAAGATATTTAGAAATAAGTTAATGCTCTGGTGACGTTGCATTGTTTGTAAGACTTGAGTTAGAATCCTAATCGTAGGAATATCTGAGTACTTTTAGTTTTTTTATGCTATTTAAATGTTTAAGGAAGATTTTTAAAATATTATTTCCTTATAATATTATTCACGTCATTATGGATTTCTGCTTTATTAGCGTTCATCATGCATTCTGACTAACGTACAATTTTCATATTTTTCAGGTATTCAGAGTTGAAAGTCAGAACGATATCAGGGAACCTTCAAAGTGCGAGGCTGCTATTTTAGTTTGCTGTAGGTTCTCACAGGCGGTTCAAGTAAAGACGTGTTTCTCTGAATATGGTTGTAGTAAAACGTATTCTACAAAACTTGCATGCGAGAAAAAAGCTATACAAACTGTTATTCAAAGATTCGCCGACTCATTTGGACCAAAATAATTTAATAATATCTTAAATATTAATGGAAATGAGATACGCAACAAGTTGATACGTAATGTGAGAATAGAAAAACAATTTTTGATTATAAACATTTTAAATTACGTCAAAAAGGACAATGAGAAATTTTAAAAGAAATTGAAAAGGAGAGACAGTTGGAAAAAGTAACGACAAAAATATAATACAAAAAAAGATAAAGTCAAAGATGTGCCTGAAGTCAACCAACCTGCACTAGGCCAGTGTAGTTGACTGAGGTTTACCCCTAAAATATTAGGGTAGGTTTGACTGCCTTGTTAGGAACGTGTATGAACTCGCAACGAGATGTATTACATTGATGTATGTACATATATGGATGGCGATGCGATTAGTTTGAAGGAGATTGGAAATACCCACGTTTTATTTATCCAACGATTCCACAAGAGGAAAAATATTCAACGGTTGAAGTCGCTTAACACGTGTTAAATATTTATAATATAAATTGCTGCGTAGATTTTTAGACGCAATACGAAGATAATATGTAATGTAATTTTATAGTATCAGTTAAACGTCATCAGTTTAATGTGGGTTTACACTGCTGAAATACCTTTTTCAAAAACAGGGATAACAATGTTTTTGAACAGATGTTCATGCATTAGAAAGTCAGCGTGTAATGATGACGTATCATTAACCAATATTTTAACGAAAGGCAAAATTTTATCGATCGATCGAAATTAGTGTTGTGTGGCGGCACTACTGCTTACTTCACATTACCACCAGTGATGTCACGCAGAGAGCTTACTAAAAGTAGACAACTCATATCTTTAAAGTAAATAAATAAAAGTTTTATGCAATATTTCAATTTATTTTTTTATTTTTACCTATTTGTTAAGAATAATTGATGAAATAAATATATTTATTTTTAATATTCTAGGCTAAAAATATAATCTCTAATCATTCTTTTTAGCAATCCAACTAGAAATTGCGGAGAGTAACAGAAACAAAAAGATTTTTAAATTGTTTTTTTTTCAACAAAGTGTATAAACGTTTCGGCTCGCTAAGCACAAGGTCATACCGAGTTCATTACTGTACTAAGCAACAAATTTTGGCCCCTGCTCGAATATACTTTGTTACGAATGACATAAGGATTTTTTTTTAATATCGTATGTTTTAAAACAACCGTTATTGGAAAGGAAGCTTTCATCATCGGCCCATTTACGGCCCTACTAAAGGGCTCGGAGTCTACCTAAATTAATTTTTGGTTCTTTAATGGATACAAAGTGGAACGAACCAATATAAAACTACATATGTAAGGAAACGTGTAAATATTTTTAATGAAAGTGACACACAATTAAATCCATTTTAATTTTATAAAAAAGAGAAAAGTTTTTTCGAACCGTTTTAATCACTTTGGTGAAATAAACATTGACAAAAATCTGATGACATAAAAAGTACTGTCACGTTGCTTGCAGTTCGCGTGGTCACATAATTGCTATTCAGTATTTTTATTCACACTTTAGTAGCGAGTTGTACGTTCCGAAGGAAGGACGCATGTTGAACACCTTTCACATTACCAGATAAAGAAAGTTTTATTTAGTTACTTTGTGAATCAATATATAATTTGGAGAGCAACTGAAGAATTGATTAAGGTATGTATCTTATATATGTAATATAGTTTCTATTTATTTACAACACTCCATAACATATTTAAACCGGTTTTAATGTGTTCATAATATACGATAAGTCATCAAGTTTGTTTGGATATTACTTGCAAAGATCTTTATAAGTCTGTAGAAAATGAGAACACACTAAAATTATTCCTACAGCCGCTTACGAGAGAAAGTTGTGACGCATTTCGGTGACAAAGGAATTCATTCAATTTGGAAGGGAAGGTACAACAATTCCTTGATTATTTTATTATTATTAATTTAATTATAAATTTTATTATTATACATTTGTAGTGAAAGTAAGTCATAGAATATATAGTGATTGTTATGAGACGGTTAAAAAAATATAACGATTTAGGAATCATGGTGCCAGTTTCCGATGAATCCCGCAAATTGGTGGTCAATTTCCGGGATCGCCAAAAAATGTAACCTTGATAGCTATCATCCACAATTACTCATATGCTTTACACCCACATGTCCTACCTAACTAAAATCATGTAAAGCCTTATATGTAGCGAACACGTAAACTTAAATATAAATCCAATCGAACTGGATAAAAAAGAGTTCAAGGAATATACATAATTTTTTTTAAATCGCCATACTATTAACAATCAAGAGAAATCGCTTAATAATATAATTTAATAAGTATTTATTAATCGGATAATATAATATTCTTAACGTAATAAATATTAATAAATTTATCATCAGAACAAATAATAAAATATTATTTTAGTTACATAAAAAAAAACTATTCTTAATTTTACTTTTATTGTTTGGTCAGATTTAAAAAAAAAACGGAAAAATTTATAAACTTCTCGACAAACATTTAAGGTCACTTTAAAAGTAATGAATTCCTGACATTTGTGAAATAATATAAATTGTATTATAATATGAAATTCATTAAATTACAGATGGCGATGATCCTGAAATTGTTATATTTATCGATAAGCATCTTAGCTGTGTCAAGCAATCCATATAAAAGTGATGACAGAACAACGACACAAATAGCATTAAATATACGTCCATTAAAGGAAACAGTTGAATCCAATACAATATCTCAAAGTCAAGTGAAATACTCAGAAACACAGAACAATATAATAAATCAGAAAAATAAAGACACATTGTTACATAATATATGGAATTTAATTGAAAAAGCGGGCAATAATTTGTCATTAAAGCCATCAAATCCACAATTATTTAGTATGTTGACCATTTTGATATTTCACACATATCAACATTCGGAACCTAATAAACATCCAGAAGTAGTAATCACAGAAGAAACAACCACAAAAGCAGTGACTACGACCTCAAGAGTCGCGACCACAAACAAGATACCAACCACTACAGAAACACTATCCAGTAGCCCAAAAGCTATATCTACTACTGAACAATATTATGACTATGAAGATGATACTGGCAGGCCAATAAAGTTCGTAGACACAAAACCATTCGACATTGGAGGAAAAGATAAATTATCCAGAAAAATGCCAGAAGTTGAACATGGCAGTCACCAATATGCGACGTAACGTGAGTTATTTTTTATACTGTAAAATAATATTTCAAGCTCAAATTATTTTTGTGTTATAAATTTTACGAAATTTCGTCTTTCCTTATTTTGTCACTTTACTAATTTTTTTTATGGAACACGACTTTTAAATTTTAATATTAATTAATAATTTATATTTCAGAATACATTGCAGTATTATATTATAATTATTAAAAAGATGTAGAAAAAAATATGTTGAAGACTACATTAACGAATTTGGTTTGTATTTTGATACGAAATGTTATATCATTAAATTATTAAAATTAGTTTTGTAAGGAAATATAAACTCAATATAAATACTACACCAAAGATCTCATTGCGATATTTTCATTGTTTTCTATCCAATCGATTTACAAATAACCTTCATAATAGGCATATTTACGACCTTATCTTAGAAAAAATATACATTTGTATAATACGATAAAAATAGAGGTTAGAGGTTTTCGATAGATAGCATACTTGGGTTTTTTTTTATTTCAAAGCGTTGTGGTAAAGCCGGTAAAGTTTTTTTTTGATAAAGATACCATCCCCTACTAGTCTAAGTATTTTTCGAGTAGGAAATTTTCATTTTACTTGCACGTATTTTTGACAAATCTCAAAAATGTATGTTTAATATTGTGTTAAAAAGTTTTTATTGCATGTCCCCTACTTTCGAAGTTTTAATAGTAACTCGATTTCGGATAAATTACTGGGGTTTCTGAATATTGAGAAATTGGTTGATTAAACATGCCCATACTAATGTTTAGGTTTTAAAGTTAATGTACAATGGGTATTAATTTCTTTGGCGTTTTTCCTTTCTTACAGTTATGTTTTGCTAAACTGAAAAGTTAAACACTGCTCTTGGTCTACTTTAATTTACTAATTCTTTATCACAAATTATTAAATAAAAAAAATTATTTATTTATTTAATAAGGCAGAAACAGTTAATAACTTCATTTCACTTTAATTGATTTCACTTTATTAAATGCAGTTTGCATCTCCTTACTACTTATAAAGTTCATTCGCCATTTAAAAATATAAACCAGTTATTCAAGCATGGTATTGAAAATATTTCGAGAACACGTTCCCATACAAAAAGCGATTACTTGTTAGAATGTTGTTCTTTATAAAGCTGACTGTTACTCACATTTCCTGTACAATGTTTAATGTAACATCAAAATAATGTTTTGGTCAAATTAATTTCAATATGCATCTCAACAAACAACTAAATCTTTACTAATATTTCTTGTATTATTCCAACTAAGCTTGTGCTAGTTTACGGCAATAGTAGAATGGATTCGAACTCTCGACCAAGTGGTTATGAATCCGTAGCCTTAACCATTAGGCTATTGGCGCTCTACAATCGAATATCAACCAATGAGCGACCACTAGGATGTAGTGAAAATATTTATTAATCACAGGAATTACCAGACTGAACATCTGTGCGGGTACTTATCTTATCAAACACGTTCGAGGTGCCTTTAATTGTTTGTTTTGTTAAAGTAAATGTTTTATATCTATATTTTTTTTAATCATAAGGTAGCAAACAAGCGAGCGATCACCCTAAATCGCTGAAATAGCGAAGCGACCGTTGGCCAGACATATACGTTGCCTATATTTAATCAACGCAGGAGAATATGCACAGACAGAGATAATTTTTCCCTTTCTATACATCCTCAACCGGATTTTTTCCGGAATCTTTCTTTATAAGAAAAATGATGCGTAGGGAAAGAAGATTAAAAATAGACCTCCGGGACGCAGAGTCATTAGACGTAACGTGGATTTGCATCCACCTTACGTCAGTGTTCTGTGTGGTCGTGGTATTGCACCGGGCGAACTAGCCAATTCGAGCGAAGATGTTAAAGCGGGCTCTAGCACTGTTAAATCCGTATCTATGTAGATCAGTATATATTTATGTTAATGTTTGTAAAATTGTTTTATCACTCAATATTATAAAACTGTATCCATGATCTTGGTTATTTCAATAATTTTTAGGGTTCCGTACCTCATAGGAAAAAAACGGAATCCTTATGGGATCACTTTGTTGTCCGTCCGTCTATCAAGACCCTTTTTCTCAAAAACGCGTGAAGGTATCAAGCTGGAATTTATTTTTCTAGATGACGTATTTTTCTGTAAGTTGAAATTACAATTCAAATGAAGTTTATAGGGAGTCCGGAAACTACATGATTTTATAAAACTAAACTTTAGCGTTATTGTGTATATTTCTAAAGATTAAAATTATTTCTAATAAGAACTCCGGATTACATAATGGAAAATGTTAATAAATTGTATAATGGATTAAACACAAGGGTTTATATTATAAATAAGGTAATTATTTGACCGCACATTTAATGATAAATGATGATTTAATCGTTTGAGAAAATAATCAACGCTTCTCATTAATTCGTCTGCGTCAAATAAATAGAACTGATATTTAAAAATCTTTGCTGTTTTAGTTACATAATAAAAATGTAGAGTTCGCTAAAATCGCATTCTCAGAATACATCTGATGTTAGGTAAATATTTACTACAAGTTTTCAGTACCTTAACCGATAAACACGTGCGTCGAATTTATTTGACCAAGATCCAACATTTTTTTCTATCTATCTATCTAATAATTTATAAAACATGTAAATTAAAAAAATGTTTTTTTCATCGAAACCCTCTTATTGAGAATAGTTTTCAGAATTTTAATATCAAATCACAGCATTCTTTTCTTTTAAGATTTATTATATAATCTATGCATTTTAATTGATTCGTACATTTAACGTCTTTAAAAGAAGTCAAGAAACCTATAACGCAACACTACAGTACAAGTGCATGAGTTCACAGAACTGCGTCGCTGTCGAGAATATTTCCTATCAAAGAAGGGTATGATAGGGGCGTTTCCATGACGTCACTGTTTATTTTAAACTAAACAAGAATGAAATAAATCCCACCAGGAAGATTCAGACGCGAAGTACGGGAATACCTACACACAGAGAGGTATTACGACAGGAAAAAGATTAGACGCGTTACTTTAAAAATATTTATAAACTAACTAGCTGTCGCCTGCGACTCCGTCCGCGTGGGATTAAAAATAGATGTTGGCCGATTCTCAGACCTACTCAATATGCTCAGAAAATTTCATGAGAATCGGTCAAGCCGTTTCCGAGGAGTATGGGAACGAAAATTGTGACACGAGGATTTTATATATAAGACATTAAAATTGCGAAAGTTTGAATGGATGTTTGTTACGATACCGGCTAAACGGTTCTGGAATAACATATATTAGCGGCTTTCCTTTTATCTTAGAAAATTAATATTTCTCATGGGATTGGTTCTTTTGTTTTCCACATAGAACTCAACAACGAATTTTTTTTATTCACGAAGACGAAGTTGAGCGAATTATTTTATCTATTTTAAAATAATTGATCGATTTCATTTGAGAAATTGTCGTATAAAAATATTGTTATGTCTGTTTTGCCAAAGTTAATGAAGGGGATTATTTTATGTTTTATAAAGGGATATTGGTGTTAATGAAGCCAGGAAAACTAACCTAATAAGAAATCGGAAACTGGCTCATAAAACGAAACAGATTCTTGCAAACAAAGCTTAAGATAAAAGCAAAAACTGCTTGCTTGCTTTACCTATATTGCAGAAATAAAAAATATATATTACACTAATAAAATAAATAGCTACAAGTTAGTACTATTGACTCTTACGTTTAAGAAGAATTAATTTAGAAATGTTAATTTACATACAGATGCTTGGATATTTTTAACATTTATTGTACAGAAAATCTCTTTGCAACATGATGTCGGCAGGAGAACAATTTGCTCGATCGTAAAATTTCATTGCCGCGCATTTACAACATTAAATTACAAAGATTTTCTGTTAGAGCAACACACGATTCGCAGTACTATATACGCGTAACATAATTGCAATAGTAATTTTAACAAAACCATTATGAGTTCATGTACTGTTGCAATGTGAAAGATAAAAATAAACACAAGAAATTAACTGAGAAATGAGAAGTATAAATAAACAAATAAAATTCATTTTTACACCGATTAGACACACGCATACGTTGAGACTCCAATATCGCACCTGTGGGGCTAGATAAAGTGCATTCGCGAAGCGATTCCATTACGAACTTCAAAAATGTATAGAACGGACAATAAATCACGTGATTTTTTTTTATATCATAAGGTGGCAAACGAGCGAACGGCCACCTAAAATCGCTGATATAGCGAAGTGACCGTTGCCCATAGACATACGCCATTGCATATGCGTTGCCTACCTTTAATCGACCGACCTCTCATCCGAAAAGTCCACTTCCACTTCCCATCCTTTCCTTATAAGAAAAAGGGTGGGAAGGGAAAGGGATAAGGCCTTCGGGACGCACACTCATTAGACGAAACGCGGAATTGCTTCCACTTCACGCCTGTCTTCTGTGTGGTCGTGGTATTTCACCGGGCGAACCGGGCCAATTCGTGCGAAGATGTTAAAGCGGGCTCTACCACTGTCAAAAATCAATGTGATTGTTGCGCATCAGTTCAATATATTTTTGAAAAGTCATGGAACTTCGGTGCGAATGCACTTTGTCTACCCCTCTGTGTTACAACAATTTTGCAGTAACCTTTTAATAAGTTGAAAGGGTGCTGATGCCTTACCTTAATGGACAGGGTAGGGGACTACCACCGTTGTCAAACTACAGTAACTCTTGAATAATAGTTTAATTCGTTTCAAATTCTATTAAAAGTATATAAGGATGTCCTAGTAGAATGTAGATGTTCTCGTGAGGCACTATCATGTTTTTGTCACGTTTGTTACGTACTTGGTATTTCCCAGCATCTGGCATGTGTTATATCGCTTCTTCTATTATCACTTTAAATGTCAAAGGTCGGAGCAGAGTACGGTGATAAAAATATTATAGTCGCACATTTCTGTGCACAATAACGCATGTGAGTACCTGAAATATTTAATCTGTATAATTTCCAAAATATCCAAAAAAAATATTCTTAAAACCAGCAATAAATATTACCACATTTTTTATAATACTATAATACTTCTACTAAAAATAAAGACAGATAAATAGTGAAATTAAATATTTTTCTATCCAAACGAACATTGTTTAGATGCGTTGCTCATAACGAATATCTAATTTTTGAAGTTGTCTTTCTGTTAGGCCCCAAGTCAATTTGTTCCAGCAGTCTCCAAAACGGCTGGGCCGATCCGGGCTGCATTTTGGCGGGAAGGTAAGCTAATATATGCGGTAATACTATAAGGTACTCTTTTCGCGCTGATGCATCATCAAAAATATTAAAACTTATTTCAGTATGCATAATCAATAGAATAATTACATAGAAAAAAAAATCTACTATTTTATAATAATTTCCAAAACCTTAAACTACTACCTAAATAAATACCTCTGTAAACGTTATGTACACCAATATTTACATATGTATAAGACCTAATACTATTTAATTGATAAGTTGTATGTGTGTTATATATATGTTGTGGTTGTGCTTAATTAAATAAAAAAAATGCATCTTAATATTATGATTTCAATACCGGTAATTAAAATGTAGTTATTTCGTTTTATAGAATTTCAAGCCTTTTCCATAGGGGGAACATTCTTCAACGCTCACTTAGTGCGAAATAGTGGCCGACAAATGTTTAATTTCTTCACAGATTGAATGTTATGTTGCTTTTTGTACGTAGGTCCTTACGTTTCTTGGGTACGAAGGGACATTGACTTGAATAATAGAGCTATCATTTTTATAAAATACATAGTTAAAAGCTTAGTTTTAAAATATGCTTATTTTTGATAGTAAACTACGAACAAAAACGTGCATTTAAGTTTGATGTAACTGGTTTTCAAATTATATGTGAAAACGTACAGCCATTAGCAACTAACAAAAATATCCAATTGTTTGCTTCGTTCTTAGTTTACGAAGACTTTAGTAACGTGAGAAACGTTTGTGTAGACACACGTATCATGAAGCGCGAATAGTCTGTTTCACATCTTGATTATTAAAATCATAAAGTTCTTAAAGTGCATTCTTTTCTTAGTCATGTGTACAATAAGGTGATACTTAAGAAATATTTATTTCAACGGGAGTCAATTACAATATAGAAGAAGATACGATTAAGGTACGTTAATTCGGTTAGTTTATTACAGAATGAAGGTTAAAACCATCTTGTTAGACTAGACGTAATCTGACAGTAACCATACATAATTCAACGTACAATGTGCTTAGAGTTAAAGACATATATATATATATATTATTTCGACCATTTGGTGACTTACATACACAAAATATTAATAATCTTAAGTACACCAGCAATCTTACTAATATTATAAATGCGAATGATTGGATGGATGTTTATTTGAAGGCATCTTCAAAACGGTTGAACGGATCTAGCTTAAATTCGGAATAGATGTAGAACATAGTCTGGAAGAACACATAGGCCTTATTAAGTTTTATCTTAATTCCGTGCGGTTTAATTATTAGTTTAAAACCCCAATGTTGCTTAATGCGAATGATTAGTCTCATTATTTTCTGTTACTAATTTATAATTTGTGGAAAGAAGCAAAAAAGCCCGACCTATCTTCATTACAAGTTTAACTTGTTTGATCCATTGACCTCTCTGTTTATATTGTATTGTAAATCAATTAAATCTTCAGTAGTTGCAGCAAATAACATAATTGAGCACTACTCTCATGACATACTTGTATAAATCATACGAAATTCATAAATGAATTGCAGAAATTCATTCAAAATATCAATACCTGTCTCCTAATTGTAGAATTAAACCACTACAGTGTATTTTATAAGGCTATAATATTATTCAAAGCCACCTTTCAAAGATGTAATGTTTATTTTTTCAAACTTACAGATGGAGCAACTTACCAGGTTCTTGTGCTTCACGTTGTGTGCCTTCGTAGTGACTTGTAAGTCGAAACATGTAGAGAAAACGTGGCAAGCAGTTAATGATGACCATGTAGTAACAATAACTGTATCTAACCGACAACAGATAAACAGTTATGCAAATTTTCAAACGTTTGAGAGTGCTTTTGACTATAACAGAGACTATATTGACAAACAGTTGTGCAGGCTCATGGAAAACTTGTTTAATCGGGGCGATCTATTTACGAGAATATCATCTCCAAATTTCTTCCCATATTATTTTATATTCCCTAAATTTTTCAATAGGATTAATGGTTTTTATGTACCTAATAATCTTAATCCTAATATGTTCCAAACTTCTACAGTACCCACATCTATTAAAATATCTAATAAAGTAAATCAATTATCTACAAAAAGACCCCAAATAAGTGGGACCAGACAATTATCTACACAAAGACCCCAAATAAGTGGGACCAGACAATTATCTACACAAAGACCCGAAATAAGTGGGACAAGACAATTCCATGTTCCCATTATTCCAACATTAAAGTCTAGAAATATTGTGAACCAAGATTCTACAACCCCGCCGCCGATACCAGAAATCAAAATAAGTACAACTACTAATATAAATACTGAAAGTCCAACAACAACTACAGCCGAGCTACAAGAAGTTAGCACAACTCAAGCACAAGAGAACGAAAAAGGACAGTTTTTCGATGACGAAGATGATACAACAAGGCCGATTACCTTTCGTGATACAAAATCATCGAAAAGTGATCGTGGATTAGATAAGAAATTCAGGAAGATGCCTGAAGTAGAACATGGAAGTGTGCAAGCTGGGATTTAAACAAGTAGGTCAAAAATTTTATAAGCCCTATTAATTTTATTCTTTATTAGTAAATGTTGAATCTATTGATATATGAAAGTTCGTAACTTAATAAGAGTAGAATAGCATAAAATACATTAAGCTAGTTTTGTAATCCTATAGATTTAAATTAAACTTTTTAAATTACGTTTATAAATTACTTTATTATGCCACAATTGATTCTCCTCATCACTCCTTTTTTGTTTTTTGTTTTAATTAACCAACCTTTGTTTTCTTCCAGCTACGATGGAGAAGCTAAAAAAATAGCTGAGTGAAAATATCAACCGAAAGTGTACACTTAAAGTTTAAAAGCCGACAAAGACTGTTTATTATTTTTATTGTTATTGTACTTTTCCTACGATTCAATTGTTCTATTTTTTTGCATTTATGGATCCTCGCAATAAATTATTATAAATTATTTTGATTGTTATGTGCGTTCCTCCTCTAACAATGTTTATCGGCAGCGGTAATTTCACTATTTTGAAGAATTTTAGTGGCCGCGTCCTCAAAACCTGTAAGTTATGCATTTTTTAAATTAAACAAAGATAGAATATTCGTAAGAGTTAATTTTATAACTATTGTATAATAGCACTAGCTATTGCACGCGACTCCGTTCGCAAGAAAAATTACAACGAGACAAAAACGTAATACGTTGCCAATGTGGTCTTCCAGAATATGTTCTTCGTCTGAGCCAAATTTCAATCATGATCCGTTCAGTCGTTCCGGAGCTTCCTTCTAAGAAACATCCATCCATTCATCTATCTAAACTTTTACATTTATAATATTAGGAATATAGACTTGCAGATAGGTCATGACTTCTTCACCTACATTACCGATTGTACACTGATCCTAGTGTAATTTCAACTGATAAAAGAAACCCACCGACATAATTAAAAAAATCAAGACTTATCAATGATCGGATCAATACCTGCTCACGAACTTGAAAAACCCTGATCGTGTCTTTTAACCAATAATAACCATTTAGATTTTGTAAGATATGCTGTACTATAATTATAGACTATTTAAGACTACTTTAAAAATGATAGGCTTTTTTTGATAAAGGTAACTACTTCATATATTTTACTTCTTAATAAAGTTGAACGAATTTGTAAACTTCAATACAATTTACTTGATTGGGAATTTCCAAACAACTTTGAATTTTTATATTTTATGTGCTTAATATCCATATTAACATATCAGGATTTCGGTCCAGATTGTTGGCTAAAATACGAGTAGATTGGCTAATATCAAGATAGGGTTGACCCTAGCTAAGCCTTGAGGCTTATAGTTTTTATTTAGATTCATCAATAAAGTTTGAAGGTTAGAACGTGAATATTGTTTTTGTATTTTTATTCGATTATACTTTATTGTAGAAATATGTCTAATCAAAAACAAGATCAGTATCCCAAACAATATATATTCTATTTTATTAAAAATGTAATAATAAGATTGTTCCGCATAAACTCAAAAACTCTTTCAATAACATAAACAAGTAAGTTGGGGGCTAGTTGCTAGTCTACTAATAATATAAATAGGAAATATTTGATTGTTTCTTTGTTTGCATTGAATAGGTTCCGAAACCACTCAAAGAATTTGAAAAAAAAACTTTAATTATTGGAATGCTAAAGTTTAACTGGTGACACGAATTATAGTTTTGTTACTAAGCTTTTTAATTCCACGAGGTCAGAGCGAGGCAACTACTAGTATAGCATAATTTTGAAAGACGAGATTATTGAAAAGAATACTGCATTAGTAAGCAGCACTACTATTATTCCAACGCACATTTACGGCCAAAAAGTACTATTACAATTTATCAGTACTATGTGTTATTATTCTGTTCTGCTCACGTGTTATACTAGTGTAATTATGTAAATACAATATTGCCAAGTTATTATTTTCTTGTGTGCAGGCGGAAATCCCAAGATTAGGTCTCCGAATGCATCATAACCACATCTCCGCATAAATGCAAGATTAATCGCCGAGCGTTATGCTAGTTTCACACAAGGGAACAACAATGAGGAAGTGCAGGACATTGCAGTACTGGTATTGTTGCAATGTAGTCTTCGTGTCAGAATAGTACTGTCGAGACAGTAAGTCAAGCAATAGTTGTACTGTTTTTACATTTTATTCTACGTAACTGCTTTGTTGTCTGAAACTAGCATAATGGTTGCGTACAATTGATTAATGGATACGTTATTGGACGTAAATGTAATAAAATTACTATAAAATTACTCGGAGATGACTTGTATGTTTTTTTTTTTAAATTGAGTAAGCTAGCTCTTGATCACGACCCCACCAGTGGGGATCGGAAGTTTCGTCAGTTCTATACATTTATGAAGTTCATTATCGAATCGCTTCGAAGCGAATGCATTTTGTCTAACCCTGTTGATGTTCAGTGATGATATGGTCGATTTTTAATCCCCTTAATAGCATATTTATAGCTTAACATTTTGTTCACTAGGTACTTAGAAAAACTAAACTGGTGTTGCATTTGTATACTATGAAATCATATATGTATCTCTGACTGTTCAATTAGAATTACTAGCCGGATGTCAATGATGACACAAGCATTTTTATTCGATTATACTTTGTATGTATACATTTAACACTTAGATGTCATGTCTAAGTTTCTTTGTAATAAGTTATCTACAGTATGTGGTAATTTTTAACTTAAATAAAAATAAAACATACAGGTTTTAAATTCGACACGAATAATATTCCAAATTACAGTAAAGAATTAACTATAATTATGTTGCAAATAATTAAAAATTATACTTCAAGTTAACAAATCAAAAGCTCAAGCAATTTTACGTTATCCATATCAATAAAACCTATAATAGTTATAAAGAATGAATGGGTATCAAAGAGCAATTCTAATCTAAAAATGACGATGTTCAACAAACCACGATGACGTCAAGGAATTTCCAAGTTTTTTTGGAATTCTTATAAAAACCATTGATCGTGATTATCGCGTAATCGTTTTTTCAGTAAATGTAACCGATGCGCAATAAATGTATAGAATACTAGCCGTCGCCTGCGACTCCATTAGAGCGGAATTAAAATAAAACTTAATTAGCTTATGTGTTCTTTCAGACTATGTTCTATATGTATACCAAATTTCATCGAGATCTGTTAAGCGATTCTGGAGATACTTTCAAACAAACATGAATCCATCTAAATATTCGCATTTATAATATTAGTAAGATTGTTAGAATATTTATGTACTTTTATATGAAACCAAAGTATAGAAATTCATGTAATTACATTTACAGACAATTTACACAAAATTTACAGACTGATCGTGGTCATCAAGTAAGTGCCAAGACCCGTTTCACTAGCCTCCAGTCCTTCCGAACTACACCAGTATTCTTTACGCTCATACACTACTGACCTGGTCTGTCCATCTCATGGAGGCTCAACATTTACATATATCATCAAATAATACTTAAATATCTGTGGTAACTTCGGTGGTTCAGGGGTCAATCACTTGATTTGCGACCAGCAGGTCCTGGGTTCGAATCCCTTCATGTACCAATGTGTTTTTCGATTTTCGATTGACATATGTACATTTATCCGAAGTTATTATGGTGAAGGAAAACATCGTGATGCAACCTGCACATATCTGAGAAGAAATTCAAAGATATGTGTGAAGTCAACCAACCCGCACTGGGCCAGCGTGGTTGACTAAGGCCAGTCACCCCTAACTTAGGATAGGCTCCTAGCCCCTCGGTGGGAACGTATAGTGAGCTGATGATGATTTTTGGTAATGTATTTATTCTGTCAATCGATCTTTGATACCAAGGCATTAGTCCATCTATGCCCCCAGATATGTAACCCATAGTGCGATTGTACTAAATAGGATAATACTTGGACATCTATTACCCTATGGGTCATATTTAACGTAAAATAGAAAGACTGACCCATTCTAAGAACCGATTGCGACAAAATTAATAAATTATAATAAAATAAATTCTCCAAATTCAATTTTTTTTCGGTTTTCTCAATAAGTTATTTCACAATTGTACGACTTCTAGTAAGAATCTGAGTCAAGTTCCGAGAACACGTGGAAAAAACATTGAATAAAGGCAATGTATGTAAAGTAACATTCAGTTGAACAAGTATTGAATACTTGAACGGACGTTTCTAAATTAAGATTAAACGTTTATAGGTTAATTTTTAATTTGTAAGTTTAATTTGTGCGTAATTTGTGAAGTGACTTCGTATTTTTCAAAGTAAGTTACATTTTGTGTTACCGTAGTTAAATTATTCTGTTTTAGTTGTATTGTAGTTGTGTTTTGTTTTGTTTTTTTTCCTCAACGATAAACAAAAGTTGAAACTAATTGGTATACAAGTTTTTTTGCAGTATTCATACCAGCTAACGTTTTTATCTGAATATAAATTAATATGGGTTATTTTAACTTAACTTTAGCTAATTAACCTCTATATACGTAAGAAGAGACTAGGAAATAAATAAATAAAATTTATTAGGAATAGGTTACAAACATCGCAACTAAACAATTTTCATGGGTCAAGGATAGGCTAAAAACCAATTTTAAAATAAATATATAAACTGATTTCTATGATTTTCATACTAGCTACTAGCAAGTCTGTGATTTTTAATTTTATCTAACATTTTTTTTTCCGTCAGCTTTGTGATAAAGATTTTAAGACAAAAAAGACATAATATTATATTATAAATGAATTAAGATGTTTAGTGCATTTTTGTCGTATATTTCATCGTCAGCAGTTAATCAATAATAAAGTCAAAAAAAAACATTCAGATAAGTTGCTCAATGACAAAAGAAAATCAATTAAAAATACAAATTAAATTAATTGATAGTTAATAAAACAATTGTAAACATTCGTTACAGATGCTGTCCCAACTACTGACGTTGTTTCTAATCATAACAATATTCTCTAAAGCTGGCAGCCGAGAAATCGGAAAAGAAAAACTAAATAGTGACGTGCAGTCCCAAGGGCGACTAACAGTAGATGAACTATCATATATACTTAGTACGAGGAATGGCGAAGACGTAAATCCACCGAAAACTATCTCCCCTTGCGCCAGTGCAATTTTAACCTGCTGCAATGAAAAAGTGATGAATCCATATTGTTCCGAGAGATTGCAATGCGGAGCATTTTTCTTTGACGATAATCCCTGTGAAGATAAGTTCGTTATAGACGCTTTAAAAGCGGCGAGGGCTTTTTACGAACAATTGAACAGCGTTTAACTTTGAATACAAAAATAAATCAATATGATACAGTGATTTTTACAAAATAACTAAGGAAGGAAAGACTGCACATAATTCAAATATATTAAGCGTTATTTAAGAATGTATTTTAATTAAAGGCTGTTAATATTTGAGTTACTTTACCTGTTTGTATAAATTAAAGTACAAAAATATATTATAGT